AATCCACTCACCTCAGCCTCCCAAAGCACGGGATTACAGGCTGAGCCATCGAGTCTGGCTACTGCTTGATTTTAAAACAGAGATGATCCTTGGGAAACGGGATCACCTCAGAGATGGTCTTATTCAACTGGACCTTTCCTCATTCCCAAGTTGGAGCTAGTCTGTGATCACTTCCCTTTGAAGCCCTGGGACACTTAAGTTATCGTTAACTTTTTTTTTAATAAGTAGAAAGAATATACTCTAAAGTAACAATAAAAGGTATAGTATAGCAAATACAAAAACAAGTAGCATAGTCATTTGCTAACATTATCGAGCATTAAGTACTGTTCATAACTGCATGTGCTAGACTTATGCCACTGGCAGTATAGTAAGTCTGTTCAAACACATGCGTAAGGCATTTGCTATGACGTTACTTGGCAATAGGAATTTTTAAGCTCCATGATAATCTTATGGGACCTCTGTTGCACATGCAGTCCATGATTGATAAAAATGTCATTAAGTGACCCATGACTATCCTACTCCCAGCTAGTATTGGCTCATTCTCTGTGCCAGGAATTCTGTCAGGCACTTTACATGCATGATCTCATCTCATTTTTGCCATCCCATGAGGGAGGTGCTGTGATTTATCCTTTGTTAACTTGCCCAACTTCGTATAGCTAATAATTATCAGAATTCTGATGTCAGTCCCAGCTCAGTCTGATTTCATAGTGAATATGCTCTTTACTCCTTTCCATGTGGTCTCATAAAAGGCAGTCATTGGCCGGGCATGGTGGCTCATGCCTGTAATTCCAGCACTTTGGGAGGTGGAGGCGAGAGGATTGTCTGATCCCATGGGTTCGAGACCTGCCCGGGCAACTTGGCGAGACTGTGTTTCTACAATAAATTAAAAAATCAGTCAGGCATGGTGGCACATGCCTGTAGTCTCAGCTACTCGGGAGGCTGAAGTGAAGGATTACCTGAGCCCAGCAGGTTGAGGCTGCAGTGGCCATGAGTGTGCCACTGCACTACAGCCTGGGCAACAGATTGCGACTCCGATCCCCCTGCCCCCCCAAAAAAGATAATCATTATAAGAAATAGCTTACCTTCCTTGGTGAGTTGGAGCTGGGTGGTATTTTTGGAGCTGTTTTTAGGTGTGTCCCCTGAATCTCTGGCTGTGACTCTGCTTTTAACAGATTTGTGGCTCTTCTCAACTTCACGGAGCTGTAGGAAAAAATGAACTGTTGATCCTGGCCAGGGAATTGGTTATTTGAGGCTTAGAATCAGGATGGGGAGAGTTAGAGGGCAGGACTGTTTTCTCAGTTCTTGGTAACTACCTTAAACTGCCTGTAACTCATCCTTACAACTCATTGGAGAGGACAGTCTGAGGTCCTCGGACTCACATGATGTTTGAAGAGACATCTGGCCAGAGGACAGCAACCCTTCCAATCCTCTATTTCAATGGTTATATCTAGGCAGGAGCCCGGTGAGGATAACAGAAGGAAGTATGAATGGAGAACTAGCAACAAGATGGATGAGGTCAGGTCCAGAAGAGGATGGAAGCAAGGATAGTGCTTAAGGAGGGCTGAGGTCTGACCTTTAGTTTGTGTGTGTGCTGAGAGAGAGCAGCCAGAAGTCAGGGTCTCAGCTGCGATGTTGAGAGGTTTCCTGGGTATGAAGGGGACCCAGGTCTCTTAGGCTAAGGGGGCACAGGCAATATGTCATTTTGACAACAATAGCATTTCTTTCTCTTTTTTTGGAGTTGGAGTCTCACTCTGTCACCCAGGCTGGAGTGCTGTGGCACGCTCACAGCCACCCCAGTGTCGACCTGTTGGGCTCCGACGATGCTTCTGTCTCAGCCTTCCAAGTAGCCAGAACTACAGGCATGCACTACTATTCCTGGCTAATTTTTTATTTATTGTAGAGACAAGGTCTCACCCGGTTGCCTGGGCTGGTCTCACACCCATAGGCTCAGGCAATCCACTCGCAAGTTCAGCCTCCCAAAGTGCTGGGATTACAGGCTGAGCCACCGAGCCCAGCCAACAACAGCATTTCTTTTGGTATTTATACTCTTAGTTTTAATCTGTAGAGATTATTGTGGATACTGGATTTATTATGTATGAGCATTGGTAAAACCCACTAAATTTCTCCTGTTCTTTAGCAACCTCTCAGAATTTAAGTCATTGTTAGGTACCCCCAAATATCCTCATAATATAAACGCATGCTGTTGAATCTCACAAGGCTACTTGCAAGATATTTTTGGACTTGGTTTAGAAAAAAGCCATTTAGAAGATTATTTTAATCAGGTTGAAGTGAGGAGGGGAAGAGAGGCCATGGAGGGGGAATGCCCAAGAAAAGCATGAAAAGGGCCAAGTAAGGGATGTCTCAAGTCATAAAAGAAAGAAGAAAAGCTTTGCTTAGTATGCCTCAGAGACAGACATCAAATGTAAACCAGAGAGGTTATCTCATTGTTCATACATGTGAATCGAACCATTCAATTTATATCAACAGTTGCAAACAGTGAACTGTCAGCCAAATATGGCCAACCAGTAGGTATTATTTATCCTGCATAATGATTTTGTATTTGTTTATGCTTTTCTGACCCACATTTAAATATTAGCAGTATTTGTTTTTTTAATGGATTTCTAGCTACTCTTGAAAAATTAGAAAATCTGGCAATACTGGGATCATTTGCCCAATTTGCTCCAATCAACACCAGCCCATTTCATTCATTTTTGTTATTTGCCCCTGTAGACATTTCCGTCTGTGACACTTGTCACCAGCATCAGGCATTTTCAAGATACCTGATCAGAGACAGAAGGAGGCTTAAAGAATGCACAAAATACCTGAAGCCATGACTTCTTTTCTTTTTTTTTTTGAGTTGGAGCCTCACTCTGTCACCCAGACTGGAGTGCAGTGGCCGCTCCCGGCCACCGCAGCCTCGACCTGCTGGGCTCCGGCGATCCTTCCTCTTCAGCCTTCCGAGTAGCCAGAATTACAGGCATGCGCTACCATGCCCGGCTAATTTTTTGATTTATTGTAGAGGTGAGGTCTTGCCTGCCCAGGTGGGTCTCGAACCCACAGGCTCAGGCAATCCACTCACCTCAGTCTCCCAAAGGCGCGGGATTGCAGGCTGAGCCAGCCATGACTTCTTATAAGCACTAATTTATTATAGCAATTCTAAGATTCTGTAAAAGTTATTTATCTTTCTGTCTTTCTACTAAGTTCAAAACTCAACCAGGAAAAAAAAACTATTAAAAAAAAAGCCATTTTTATAATACAGCTGGGCTTCCAGAGAGAATGAGCAAAAAACCCCCAAATATGACATTTTTTACCCCCCAGGATGAAATTCCCAACAGACTCACCGCTTGAATTTTCTTCCTCAGCTGGGCATTAGCTCGGGAAAGGCTTTTGGAGACTGAGTTCAGGTAGTAAATTGCCAGGCTGCAAGAGAAAAGCATGCCTCCTATAGTCCTATGATCTTGGCAAATGACAAGAGCTGGGTGCCTTCCCTGGGCGATCAAGGCAGGGTTCCTGGAATAGGTACCCAAGTTTTGCTTGTGGGTGGGGTTTGTTGTGTTACCATCCCACATTCTCTTCTCATGGAAGGTCCTGGATGCCTCTGCTTCTTCTCTATTTTTTTTTTGAGCATGGGCATGACATACCCATCTCTAGCTCTCAGGGTACTCAGTAAAGTTTGGCTAAAGGAATCATTCCCTCATCTGGGAAATCTGAGGTGATGGGGGCGTGGCAGGGTTTCCTGTCTGCAGAAGAAGCTGGTTGTGTTTCCTGGGCACCTGCCCTGTGCCATGCTCTGTGCCCTGTGCACCCCTTCCCCTCATCCCTATTGGTTTTGATGAAAACCACATGGAGTAGAAAGTAGACTCCTATGTTTGCAGGTGAGTATCCTGGAATTCAGAGAGGTTAAATGATTTTCCCACTCATTAGTACTACTTAGACCCCACATTTGAAGCCAATGCTCGTTCTACAATCTTCAAGTCTTGGGAGCGGGGAGATAGAGGTGCTAAGAGACCTGCCCCAAATTTGCCTAGAAGCACAATTGCCGATGCTCTGAAGGTTTCCTGCCCTGAGTGCCCCGGCATGTCTGGTCCCGGACTTATGATTAGTTTAGAGTCCAGCCCCCTTTGGCTCACTGGGTGACTGGGTGTCTTTTGAGGCTGCAGCCTGGACTTTCCTTTCACAGGTTCTAAGATCTGGAGATATGATATAAACTGTGATACCTAGGAGAAGAGAAGACACAAAAGCCAGAGTGCCACCTGGATTGGATGTTTTGCCAGCCTGTTGTCTGTAAACTTTTTAGGTCCATCTTTTTCTTTTCTTTTCTCCCTTCCCTTCCTCCCCTACCCCACCTCTCCCTCTCCCTCTCCCTCCCTGTCTCTCTCTTTCTTTCTTTCAGAGGCAGGGTCTCCTGTTGTCCAGGCAGGAGTACAATGACACAATCATAGCTCACTGTAATCCCAAATTCCTGGGGCCAAGTGATCCTCTGATCCCAGTCTCCCTAGTAGTTAGGACTACCAGAGTATGCCATCATGCCTGGCCAATTAAAATTTATTATTTATTTATTTGTAAAGAAATGGAATCTCACTATGTTGCACAGACTGGTCGTGAACTCCTGGACTCAAATAATTCTCCCGTCTCAGTCTCCCAAAGTGCTAAGATTGCAAATGTGAGTCACTGCACTCAGCTCATCCTTATTAGTAAATTTTCTCCATGAATTTCAAATCTCAGCTGCTCTAGCTTGGGTCTTCTGAGCCTTCTCCCCCAGGGTTGGACTAATCATAGCCACCTCAGTAAAGCCCATAAGCTCTCTCCAACCAGAGAAGAGGAGCCATATGGTCCTTGGGGCAGAGTGCAGATCTGAGGCTGTCATGTGAGCCTCCTGAAACAAGGATGCAGAGAACTGTGGGTGAGGGGAAAAGAGAAGGATGGAGAGGTGAAGGGACTGATTTCTGTTTTGTAAAGTCTTTACTTTGGGGCAGTCCTCACCACTTCTGAACCAGGTGTCAGAGAGATGACTTGCTTTGCCCAAGATCCAGCAAATGGTGGATAAAACACAGCTCACAGGTGTCTGTGTTCCTTCTGAGATTACTTCCAAATTTAGTATTTCTTCTTGCAGCCTGCAGGGTCAAGTTTGGTGTCTGGGTTCCAGAATTTCCTCAGGATATCACAGGGCAGTCCAAGTAGTTACTATTATGTCATCCCTCTCATGCCAGGACTAGCAGCAAGGGTATTTGAAATTAAGGATGTGAAGTGACATGCAAATATTTGCTGCTGACAATGACAGCATTCAGGGCACAGAGAAGACCTTCGAGAATGGGTGAATGAACAGATGAAAGGATTTGGCATCCACTCTGGCCCCTATAGAGCCCTAGAATCCCTATGAGTCTATATTCACTTCCAAAAACTACTGGAAGGGGTGCTGAAGGAGAGATGCCATCACAGAATGTGGAGCTCCAGTTCCTTTCCAGACTGGCAACCCTAAAGCAGCACCCAGGAACTGACCACAGGCTTGGGGGAAACTGGCTCCATTAGACTACCCTGGAGTTGAAGGGAGTCCTGGTGAAAAGCAGCAAAGGGCATTTCTTGAAATATCTTCTGGAAACCATAAATAGGCAGAGGCATATTAAGGAACAAAAAAAGATGGTGCTCAAAGAAGGAGACTTTTAATAAAATCTTTAGAGCCCATCCAAGGCAAATGTTTAGTTCAAACATTAGCAAAGCTTGCAGAGTAAGGACTTCTGAAAATCCTTTCCTCCATAAAAGCAGTGAGAATACCAGCAAAATTGTGAGAATCAAGTTTTCCAGAACCCTGAAAATTAACCAAAGTTTTGCAATGAATTTATGGAGCATCTTTTCAAGAAAAACAACTGAATCTCAGTAAGAACAATGAGCTCTGCAGCATTTAAGTTGCCTTATTCTACCCTCTCCAACCCAGTTGTGCAGTAGGTTTGAAAACCAACAGACCCAAGTCATGATAAAAACAAGTACTCTGAGCTAGGCATGGTGGCTTACACTTGTAATCCCAGCAATTTGGGAGACCAGGGGCTCGAGACCAGGCTGAACAACAAAGCAAGACCTCATCTCTACAATAAACCAAAAAATCAGCTGGGCATGGTGGCACATGCCCGTGGTTCCAGCTACTTGGAAGGCTAAGACAGAAGGATCACCTGAACCCAGCAGTTTGAGGCTGCAGTGGCTGTGAGCATACTACTGCACTCCAGCCTGCACAACAGAGTGAGATTCCAACTCAAAAAAAGAAAGAAAGAAAGAAGGAAGGAAGGAAGGAAGGAAGGAAGGAAGGAAGGAAGGAAGGAAGGAAGGAAGGAAAGAAAGAAAGAAAGAAAGAAAGAAAGAAGGAAAGAAAGAAAGAAAGAAAGCTAGTAGCTGGCAATCACTGGAGGAAGTGGAAGCTCCTTCAAATCCTCTTTCTCAGTTAATTGTAATTACTTAATTATCCAGTGAATCCTTGGAAAAAACCACTCACAAGACTGTCTTTGTTTGACCTGGCTCAGAGTGCAACAGTGTGAATAGCCTTTTCTCTGCGGATGTTTGTCAAAAGTAATCAGAGGCTATTGTTGGATATCATGGCGAGGTAAGGTGTTGGTTAAAACCTGGGGCAAACAATAGGCTGACCAAAAAGATAAAAGAAGAATGGAGGAATGAGATGTGCAATGGGACTTCAAAAAGCTTTGAAATATTCCTGAAAACATAGAGGATCCTATGTATAATGTGTAAGGGTGTGCAGATGCCAAGGCTGTGCACATGTCCAAGAAAGATTTCAGAAGGCCCTGAGCTCTCACCTCTGGCTAACTTTGAGTCTTTGAGCAAGAAGAAAGCGAAAGCTAAGATACCTGGTTGAATGTTGAAGGCATACCCCAATATATATACAAAGCTCTGTGGCAAGTCCTGGGAGACTTACTGGTTCCAGACATATAAGAAAATCTCTGTCCAGTCATTAGCTGAACATTCAGATAACCGAGCATAGATGTTAGTGGCTAAACACAACAAAGACTATAGACTTTACATAATTAGTTCAGAAAAGTCACTAAAACAACAACAACAGCAGCAATTACAACAACAGCAAAAGCAGGGGAGGGAAATCTGATTTCCATAGCTGCCATATAATATTATTTAAAATATCAAGTTTCTACTACAAACTAATGATACATGCAAAAAAAAAAGTATGCCCCATAAACAGGGGGGAAATTAGTCAATGGAAACCATTCCCAAGGAAATCTAGATGCTGTACTTACTAGACAAAGACTATAAGCCAGTCTGTCAAATTTGTTCAAGGAACTAAAGAAAACCATTTAAAAAGAACTAAAAGAGCCTGGCCTCGGTGGCTCAGCTGTAATCCTAGCACTTTGGGAGGCCGAGGTGAGAGGATTGCCTGAGCCTGCGGGCTCGAGACCCCCTGGGTAAGGTGGCAAGACCTCGTCTCTACAATAAATCAAAAGTTAGCTGGGCATGGTAGTGCACACCTGTAGTTCCAGCAACTTGGAAGCCTGAGGCGGAAGGATTGTGGAGCCCAGCAGGTTGAGGCTGTGGTGGCCGAGAGCGTGCCACTGCACTCCAGTCTGGGCGACAGAATGAGACTCTGACTCAAAAAAAAAAAGAACTAAAAGAAAGTTGAAAATGATGTCCCACCAAATAAAGAGTATCAGTAAGTAGAAATTCTGGAGTTGAAAAGTGCAATAGGCCGGGCTCTGTGGCTCAGTCTGTAATCCCGCGCTTTGGGAGGCTGAGGTGAGTGAATTGCCTGAGCCCACGGGTTCGAGACCTGCCTGGGCAACTTGGCGAGACCTCATCTCTACAATAAATAAATAAAAAACTAGCCGGGCGTGGTAGTGCACGTCTGTAGGTCCAGCTACCTGGAAGGCTGAGGTGGTAGCATCGCCGGAGCCCAGCAGGTCGAGGCTGCGGTGGCCGGGAGCGGCCACTGCACTCCAGTATGGGCGACAGAGTGAGACTCCAACTGAAAAAAAAAAAAAAAGTGCAATAAAAGCCGGGCTTGGTGGCTCTGCCTGTAATCCTGCGCCTTTGGGAGCCTGAGGTGAATGGATTGCCTGAACCTGCGGGTTTGAGACCCGCCTGGGGAACTTTGCGAGACCTCATCTCTACAATAAATCAAAATGAGCCGGGCATGGTAGCGCGTGCCTGTAGTTCCAGCTACTTGGACGGCTCAGGTGGAAGGATCGTCAGCAGGTTGAGGCTGTGATGGCTGGGAGCGGCCGCTGCACTCCAGTCTGGGCGACAGAGTGAGACTCCAACTCAAAAAAAAAAGAAAGAAAGAAAAGAAAAAGAAAAGTGCAATAATTGAAATAAAAAATTTACTGGAGGTGCTCAACAGTATATTTGAGTTTACAGAAGAAAAAACCTCAATGAAATTGAAAAATAGGTAATTTGAGATTATCCATTCAGAG